CTAATCAGATGATTTGGAGATAGGATTGTCCTGGATTTTCTGGGTGACCCCAATAGAATCCTTGGTGTCAGACAGATCAAGCAGACAGAGATTTTAAGACATTCTGCTTCTGGATCAGAAGATGGTTGAAGGGACCACTAACCATGCATGCAATGCACCCTACATGATGGAGAAAGCAAGGAAAACAGGTCCTTTAGAACTTCCAAAAGGAATGCCAGCATTTCAGACTTCTGACCTTCAGCAGTGTGACTCAGGATGAGCAACATGGGAGAAATGAACACAGAGGAAAAACCACCTCTCAGTAGGTAACGTCATTCAGGCAGATGAGAAACAGATGGACACTGTTTACTAGGGAGGGGAGCTGAAAGGATATTCAGCTTGCACAGAAGTAATTTGGGTTTTGATACCCAGCAGCTGGATACAGTGCCCAGGGCCCAGATTATATTGAAAGATGAGCTGGATTAAAAGATGAGCTGTATCATTTACCAGGCTGCAAAGTGCTGACCATCATCAGCTGCCCCCCATACCCCATACGCTACAGGCAGGAGGGTAGCAGCTGTGCGTCCTGTGAATAATGAAGACAGTTTCCCTGACTTTGAGTCCTAAGACTGTGCTCAGCAAAACGTAAGAAGTGACTTTATTTCCCTGTGTCCCAACTTCGTACCTCTTCCCTCGGCATAACCCTGTCTGCCTTCACTCTTCTGCCCTTCCATGCTCTCTGAGGTCAGATGACCTGAACAATTACACTCAGACATTTGGGGCTAAGTGATGCTCTGGAGGGACATTTGTCCTAGAGAGCACATGTACCCATTCAAGCAACTGGACCCTCAGCCCCCACATGGATATGGCCCTCAACCAGAGTGCTGTTTGAGCGACAATGGAAACAAATTCCCAGTGTTGGCATTTGGAACATTTTATCACCTTTGAAGGAGACATTTGGGGAACATAAGAGGCCCGCTGAAATTCTCAATTATGCTGAAACCACGTGGAGTGGATGTGTATGCTCTGGGCTGTCCAGATCTGTTTTTTTTTTTTTCAGGCAGGAGCCAAAACAAGTGAATCTGAAAGAATCTGCCTCTCCCTTGGTTCACTTTTCCCTATTTGCTTCCCTCCCTCTCTCTCCTGTGTATTCCTCCTGTCATTTTTGCTTCCCTTCTCTCCCAGTTCTCATCCCCTTTCCTCTGTTTCTAGCTTCCATTTCCTCCTTTTCTCTCTCATCCTTTCCTTCCCTCCCTCCCTCTCTATTTCTTGTTTTCTCCCATGCCACAGTCCGCTTTCTGACACATAAATACTGACACAAATAGTTATCTATTATAAATACATAAACATACTGTTGAAAAAATAAACCATTCCATCCCCAGTACTGACCTTGGTTGCATTTGTGATCCAGTATTTGGTGGGTAAGTGTGCCTGCAATTCTTTTTAGGACCTCTAAACATCAACTTCCAAAGTCCTAGACATTTCTTGGGCATCAAAGTGAAAAGCTATAAACTCAGACTCACATTCCTGTTTATCAGCATCAAATCTATTAATTGAAGAATTTAACTACCCAACGAGAGAACCCTAGGGAATAGAACTTGTAATTTCCAGTTCAAGACGTCCATCAAACCTGGATTATTTGCCCAATCCCCCCCCCTTGATTCCTCCACAAAAGGTGCCCCGTGGAGGGCATCTATGTTGGAACCCTCCAAGAATGAGCCCCTAGAGAGCTCTCCTGGCATCTGCTGTGCCCTCTGTTCCAGGCTCTGCCTCCACAGCCTAATCACACCCTGGCACAGGATAAACTCCAGGGAGGATAAAAGACAGTTACTGGATCTAACGACATCCAAATAGAGGGCTACCTGGCTTCACGACCTCTGGTGATTTAGGTAAAACTTCGCCCACTCCAAGGGGTATTATTGGTCCCTATTCACCAGGTACCCAAAGGAAATGGCTGTTTCTTCTGAACTGGTGATATTTCACTATGAAGTGCAAAGTGAGAAGAGGCAGGGATACTCACTTTTGTTTGAAGTTGTTTTTAAAGATTTTATTTATTTATGCATACAGAACTGGTCTGGGGTACAGGCCAGAAGTGCGGGGAGGTGAAGGTGAGAGGATTCCCCAGAGACAGAGTGGGGAGCAGAACAGGCAGATCAACTAAGCACACTGCTGAGGGGAGCAGTGGGCGAGAGAGGAGAGGTCTGCCGCACCATGTGGGTCAGCTCCCTGGCTGGGGATCGAACTCACGCTGTAGTGGTAGCTTCACAGTGCTGCGCTTTAACCTATTGTGCCACTAGGGAGGTCCCTTTTGTTGGAAGTTTTATTGCATTCTTGATAACCTTAGGTTTGGTTACATCCATCAGATAAAAACAGTTTTCAAGGAAGGAAGGTAAAGGAAGAATGAAGAATGTTTAGTAGGAAAAGCAGAATTTAAAATAAAAAAGGTCAAAGAAAAAACACACACAATCCAAAAAAATTGAAAAGATTCACATTCCTCGAAGTTGATCTTTTGTAGAAAATTGCTTTTATTGTGACATTGTGCTTCTTAGTGAAGGACGTGTAGGGCAAATAAGAAGCGTTGATCCCTTGAGATAATTTTTTTCCTTTTTTTTTTAATCGCAGTAACATTGGTTCACAATACCACGGACATGACTCCGAAATACAGGATCACGTCTCCTCAGACACATGTTACCACACCGCGCCCACCACCAGGGCACCCACAGCCCTTCAGCACAGGAGGTCATAATATTTTTCTAAAAGTTATTTATTTTCTATGTCATTCATTTTTGTAGAGTAATTGATTGGTTTCTCCCCTCAGGGATAGTCCTCGTAGCTCAGCACCATATCACCCTAATTCGTCACTGTTTCCCCTGTGCCCTTCCCTCCCCTGTCCTGGCCCC